TCCATTCTACAAATTCTCGGTTACTGCCCTTGAAAATGGACCTTTCAGAGGGAGAATTTTATAATACAACCGTCATGGAAAAGTGCATTAAAATTTACTTCTGCATTTATATGTAGTTCAAAAACAACTCTTATGGCCGAGGGAGACAGGGGAGTAGCCTAAAATAATACGCAATTGAATTCACAGACCCCTTTCTTTGTTAAAAGCCTAGCATCCAAGTGAACTAACTACAGACGGAACTACATTTTCTAATGACATGACAGTTGCTGCGATTCACGCGCCTAAAGGTTTCCTTTAGTAATAAATGGAGTACTCGGAAAAAAACATCCATAACTGCTAGTAAAGTATTCATTTAAAACGTTTTTCCTCGGTTATTTCTCTTTATATTCGGTCCCGGCTTTACGAGTCAGACGATCATTTTTCTAAAAATTTTGCTCATAAAGCAATATTGCCTCAAAAGTGAAATGTGTAATGACTTATGAGACAAAATACAGTTGATAGTAAAGGTAGACCGCCCAGTCTCGAGACAAGATGAATCCATATTAACATGAAATAAAGGGCTCAATAGTGTTTTATCAACAATAAGCCAAAATAACTATTGCGGTAAGGGAGACCATAACCTTTAAAAGTTTTGTTGTGAAACAACGTGCAGAAGAATGTAAAAGCTGGTTTAATCAAGGAAGGAAAAAAGTAGCAAAACGTTTTATTTCGACATACTAGAACATGTTGCGATTCTCTGTAAGCCAGCCGAAACTTTGTATTTTTTACTGAAAGAAAGAAAGTTTGAAAATATTTTAAGCAAAACCATAGTATATTTCAAATGTCTGTACACTGACTATATACATAAGTGGCAAGATTTATAGAATAGAGCGGAATGTAAAGTGGTCTCTGTTAACTTCACTTCACGTCTCGTCCTCGCAACTTTGGCTGTCTAGTCTAATCCAACTGCTCAAAAATGGGTCTTGAGGTATCAGTTAATGGGAAGGAAGAATTTAAAAAATTACGACAGTGGTCATACATAGTTAATTACATAAAACCGAACAATAGTCGAACGTATTCAAAACAAAAGCAATTCGCGCTCAATAGGTATGGAATGATGATAGATCCAAAGCACAATTGATTAGTGATTAAAGAAGAACGTATCGAATAGTGACAAGACAAGGGGATATCAAAATATTGACTAGAGACAAGTTGGTGTGATTATACGACGGTGACGAGGCAAAGTATTGATTACTGACCAGCTGAGAACTTTCAAAAAGTAAATAGATAAGGTTTATCAGGTATTGAATAACGTCAAAATGTAGTGGTATCGAATAGTCGTTAAATCGAGTAGTGACCATACAAGAATATGTAAGAAAGGTAAATAAAACAATGGCTGAGAAAGGTATGGAATAAAATATCGAATAGAGATAAAAAAATGTATCGAATAGGGTATCGAATATGGTATCGAATAGGGTATCGAATATGGTATCGAATAGGGTATCGAATAGGGTATCGAATAAAGTATCGAATAAAGTATCGAATAAAGTATCGAATAAAGTATCGAATAAAGTATCGAACAAAGTATCGAGTAAAGTATCGAATAAAGTATCGAATAGTGTATCGAATAGTGTATCAAATAGTGTATCAAATAGGATGGTTTTCGAGTACCCCTAACCCCTAACCCCTAACCCCTAACCCCTAACCCCTAACCCTAACCCTAACCCTAACCCCTAACCCCTAACCCCTAACCCAGTCCTTATGCAGTATTCTATCTACTCCAGATAGACATATTAGACAGATTTAGACATATTATATATCAATAGAAAGGGAATTGCATGGTCTTTCAGACGGAGACAATAGTTTTCATTTTTGGCAAGCTGTCTTGAAGTTATAGTTAATAAAAACAGAAACAAAGACAGAAGTCTCACTTTTCGAACTGTCACAAAAAAGGGGGAAAAAGTGTTTGAGGATAGTTAACAATTATTTCATGGAGAAGTGCAGTCAGTTCTGCATGTGTCAAATGGTACACCGTTATAAAATAAAGAAATGAGAACCATTCTAGTACATCCTACAACTTTTTGCTCTCGATCCTCCTGCAATAATCTATCTGTTCCAGATGGACATAATATTATAAACTATACCAATAGAAAGGAAATTAGAGGGCGCTCTTATGACCTTATGCAGTTGGGAGTGTCGTAAAACCCTCTACTGTAATAATAATAATAATAATAATAACCTACCCAATTAATTTTGTTTGTCAATCTTTCTTGAGGTGTGATATTTCGTGTTTTTGTGTCATTAAAAGTAGATGCAGTAACAGAAATTGGACTTCGTTTGAAAAATAAAGAAATGAGGGCCGTTCTGGTGCATTCTACAAATTCTCGGTTACTTCCCTTGAAAATAGACCTCTCAGAGGGAGAATTGTATAATAAAACCGTCATGGAAAAGAGCATTCAGTTCTGCATTTATATGTAGTTCAAAAATAACTCTTACGGCCGAGGGAGACAGGGGAGTAGCCTAAAATAATATGCAACTGAATTCACAGACCCCCTTCTTTGTTAAAAGCCTAGCATCCTAGAGAACTAATTACAGACGGAACTACATTTTCTTATGACATGACAGCATCCCTGAGCTTCGCTGTGGCATACAAGTTTCTCTCAGTATCGTTTATTCATGCTGTTCTGTTCTGTAATAATTTATGGCTGTGTGAATTCATCAATGTGTGCGAGGGTGTCTGGGTAAGCTTTGTGGGATTGTCTTTACTCAAGGATGTGCTGTAGAGAGAGAGAGAATGAGAGAGAGAGAGAGAGAGAGAGAGAGAGAGAGAGAGAGAGAGAGACTAGTGAGAGAGAGAGAGAGAGAGAGAGAGAGAGAGAGAGAGAGAGAGAGAGAGAGAGAGAGAGAGAGAGAGAGAGAGAGAGAGAAAGAGGATTACTATAGGAGCTGTGCGCTTCATATTATGTTCTTTGTATTATTGTACAGCGCATTGAGCACTTCTTTGTGGAAATGCGCTATATAAATGCAATTTATTATTATTATTATAATAATAATAATAATAATAATAATAATTATTATTATTATTATTATTATTATTATTATTATTATTATTATACGCTGGGCGATACATGAAACAATGCACTGTTGTTATAGAGCAACGCCACGAGTGACACCTCTGTGTTACTGTAAACCCTCTCTGGTTGATCAAAGCCACGCTGTCTACAGTCCTGTTTTTCAAGCCTCCACCATGTCAAAATAACCTTCTTTGCATTGCGTCCCAATAAACAACCCACACCTTGCTTTACATGCACGTCTCGTCATCACTTTTTTAATGTTATGCCACAGATTGTATTCTTTCAGTACTCGTTTTTAACGGCTACTGAAGAGCTGTATATTTGTTATTCTGGCTGTTTAACCCTTTCCTCATAAGCATATTTCATATCTGATACGGTACCTACCGGCTGAGTGGTTCACACCTGTGCACTTAAATATGCAAATCGGTGCAAAATAATGCATTCGGCAATACGTTTTGTTTTAGTAAGCGTTTTACAGCAATTGCAACACAATTTTGTTACAAGTGAAGAAGATTAGAAGATTAGAAGTGTGTTACAAGAGAGCTGGCGTGGTCTACCTCTGCCTCTCTTTCCACCAAACTTGCCCGTTGATAGAATGTTCTCCAATGCTTCTTCCCGCATTGTGTACCCAATGAACTTTGTCGCTTTCGTATATTCTTCATAAGCTGTCGTCTGCAATTTGCTTCAACCAAGACTTTTTCATTTGTTTTTCGTGCTGTCCATGAGATACGTAGCATACGTCTTATAAACCACATCTCTGTCGCCTCAAACGTTTTTCCCCCACCAAAGCAACCGCCAGCAATCCACAGGCATTTTATTGTATGGCTATGCAAGTGCTTGGTTGTGTTGATATCATTTATTTATAAGGCCAGCCTTTTCCCGCAATTTTTGCTA